TCTGAAAGAATGTTGTTTAGTGTGTGCTAAAGATCCAGCTTGCTGCATTCATAGTATAGCTTTTACAGTGTGTACAGCATTTTAAAGATGGCAGGATATTTGACATCTCTGCTGCTGTCATGGAGTTATCTAGATCAATCTATGCCTGTGACAGGGGATGCACAGGCCTACTGCCCCCTGGCCCCAAAAATGGAAAGGGAAAAAGGGAAGGGTAGGGAGATGGGAACTGGGCTCAAAAAACAAACAAACAAAAAAAAATCAGCGACCGTGATCTAAGGAGGGAAACTTCTTTTACTAACTGTGATATCGAAATACAAGATAACACAATATAATACAATCTAATTGAAATTGAGGCTAATAAATCAAATCAAATAAGAGAGAGCGAGAGAGTTTTCTGAAACTGAGGAAACCTACTTTGAACTGAAGGCACACGGCTTAGAAGCACATCCACACCCCCTGCCAGGCAGCGAGTCAGAGAGAGAGCAAGATCCCATGACTTCCTTTCTCCTGTGACTTATCTTCCTCTCTGACCATGAGGTCTGCTGGGATATGTAGTTCTTCTTCTCTTCTGAGAGCCAGGTATCCAGCAAGTTGTCAGTCCACAGAACTGGAGTATTAACTCTTTAATTTCCCGTGCTTTGCATGATATTATGATGTGGAATACTCATAGAAAAAAAATTACAAAACCGTGACAGCTGCCTGTTTGAAACACTGTTAAGCTGCAATGTCAACTAGCAAAATGAATATGTATTTAGCTTTTGTTATTGCTAAATTACAGGCCTCTTTGCTTTTGAGAACTAACATGTACACTGTCAAATAGCTTTGTCAAAGGCCAAAGTCACTTTGACTTATACCAGAATTCAGAGTGGAGCCCAAAAACTCTGCTAATTTAAAACAAACAAACAAAAAAAAGTAACCAAACACCACAACAACCTCTGCAGCTGACTTCAGTAGTGGTGGCCCTGTTAACACCAGGTAGGGATCAGTGGTTTTATGTGCATTTGGCACTTAAATAATTTATTCTTGTGATAAAGTGGTGATGCCTCTGGCTTGTATTAAGTGCTTCAGGGTTTCAGGAATTTTGGGTAGGGATTGTTGTTGCTTTCTAAAATGCTTGTGGTTTAGGCTCCAGAGTAGTATAATTTTTCTTGCTCTAAATATGACCTCTAAATTTCAGAAAATACTTCATCCAGTTTTTTAGTCATTGCTCCATTCTTCCAGGTACCACGGAGTAGAAACACAGATGAATAGAGATACTTGCACAATAGGTCAAGTGCAGGTGGAAGATGCCTTTTGTGCTTTCATTGAGGAAGAATGGGTTTGCTCCTGCTCTGTTCCTCTAAATCAGGGATTTGATGTTACAAATTGGCATGTGCTACACTGTATTAGCTTGTAAGTTGTTCCTGCTGTGACTGTAGGTGTCCTGAACAAAGAAGTGAGTGGAAAGTCCAACTCAAGTTGCAGGTGAAAGGCCTGTGATTCTTTGTATCATAATGACTTTAAGGGAAGGGCTGAACTAGATGACTTGCAGAGATTCCTTCCAAACTGACTTATTTTACAGTGACATAAAATAATGAGCAGCCTGGGGGGAAACAGTTATGAAAATCCTAGATAGATATTAGCAGAATAAGATTTGAAATAATGCTATTAAGTTTTCTACCCTATTTCATATTCATGAATGTTGCTTTCTCTCTTCTCTTTGGAGTACAGAATAGCTTTGCTCTTAAACTTGAAGGAGTTTCCCAATAAGGTTTTCTCTCTGTTGATGATCAGCTGTGCTTGTGAAACATGCCCCTCGGTCACCACTGGATCTCAGTGTTCTTCACCAGTTTTCTTTCTATTGGAGAGTATATTTTGCATTAAGATGAGAGATAAGATGAATTCATTTTAGTGACAGCGTTATTAAAGACTTAAAGATAGAAATGTCGGTTCTAATTGAATCTCAGCACCCAGGTTGTTATAGTAGCGAAAACTTTTATTAGGTTTCTATAATTGTGTTAGAAGTTATAGCCCCAGGCTAATATTGAAGCAAGAGAAACTGACAGGTTCCATGCAATCAGTCCCAACCTGATAGTTCTGTGAGGGGAGTGGGACTTACTCTTAGCTGGTCTTTTAAAGCTTCAGCGCTGTCAGGGGCTTAGTGCTGTCTCTGTGAGTGCCCTCTATATTGCTTTTGCTCTGGACCAGCATAATAAATGAATCTTCTGGCTCCTGGAGTGTTCTTCTGAGGACGTAAAGGGATTGGGAGTCGCAGGAGTGTGGTTTCAGCTAAAATCTCTGTACTCACAGTTTTCTGGAAGAGATGTGTGATGCCTCGATGCAAAGAGTATCAATGGGTGCAGAACTGACATCTGTGTGGCTTCCTTGTGCAGGTCATGCATAAGGGGCACCGTGCTTTGAACCATTCTCATACAGGTCTGAGCTTGGTAAAAGTCTTTCAAAGAAGACCTCAGAGGACTGCTGCAAGGGGAAGTGTTCTGCATAGCAGCCTGACATTGCAGAGGCTGAGTAATACAAGCCCTCTGCTCTTGGACCTAGTCTTTAAAACAGTCTTAGTGGCTCAGCAGTCTGCACTATAATGTCACATACACTCCATGCTGCCAGCTCAGAAGTGGTCCTTTTCTGACCTCTGGTTCCATGTGACAGAACAAACATATGCTCATGGGGCAAGCAGGAATTAAAATTAGCCTAGCCAAGAAGCTTATTTCAACCCTAACCAGTTTCTCTAGCACACAAGAGCAGGAGAACATGCTCAGTTGGTCGTGACTGTTCAGCCCTCCTGCTGCCCTTCCAGCGCCGGCACAATGTAGTCACATCTTTGCAGCAACTCGGCTTGTGTGGGCAGAGTCATCATTCCTATTCCTACAATTACTTCCTAAACTGATGCAAGTCTGCCTCCAGAACAGTATCTTGAACGAGTGCAGTCTGTCACAACCATTTTTTGTTTCATGAACTGGAATCAAAATGTAGGTTTATTGAAATGTTTCACTTTTGGTTTTGACTTTTTTACATAAACTAGTTGTGCTTTCAGGAGAGCTGTTGAAAGCTAGAAGGAACATTTTCAGATCAAACATGATGTTTTCAGCAGTTATACTTTTTGGCAAGGCAGATTTGTTGAAGCTCCTCCCTGTGGTTTAATTCTCAGTGAGCTGTTGGCCTGACATTGACCCTGGGCACATCTTCTTTGGATGATGTGCTCAAGATTTTCAGAAGGTCTGGTGTACCCTGTTACCTATTTCTTATTCAGCTGTATGTGCCGTCTTACTGTGCCTTAATCTGCATGGTCAGATGGTGATGATGGCTCATTAATGTTTGTGTCCTGAGTGAAATCCTTGAGAGGAAGGCATAGTTGTGGACAGTCGTGCCCACTGGTCACAATTCTGTTGATTGGAGAGAGGCCAACAGCAGAGATCCCCTTGCTGCTGGTGGGCCCGGGGCCTGCTGGAGCAATGCGTGGTGAGATGGCCAATGCTGATGTTGTGCTCTGTCAGGTATCCAAGCATCCATTCTCACCTCTGTGAGGAGTTTGTTGTGTGGTGAGCCCAAACCTCCCGCAGCCTCTGGCCTGGGGGAAGGGGCAGTTCCTGCCCCAAAGCTGTGCAGGGGCAGGAGAAAGGAGGTGCAGGCAGCTGTGGCCTGGGCCCACGCAGCCCAGCAGGCCCCACCCTGCCAGCCACCATCTTCACTGTGAGGTGGAAGGCAGGCAGCTCCAGACATGTGCTGTTGCAGCATCTCATTGGGAAATTCTTATCTTGATTTGCTGATGATCGCATTGGAAATGGTTCCTTTCTAATATATATATATATGTTATGGCTATTTTGTTTGTAGGTTTTTTTTTTGTTTTGTCTTGGGTTTTTTTGGTTGCTTGGATTTTTTTGCACATCTGTTTTTAGATTTGCTCTTACTACTTAATAGATACTTGCGGATTTTTTTTTTGTTTGCTTTTTTTTGTTGTTGTTCTCCCCACTTAAAATGTGTGTTACGTGAAGCAAAGGAGTATTTCTGTCTTCCAGAACTTACTGTCTCCACGGATGTAATACTGCATGACAAATAGTCTGCTGCAGCACTGTAATGCAGATTTCCTTATCAAGCATACAAACCTTAATGACGTACATACATACAAAGACAAAAAAATGAAGAGAAAGTAGAACCAAAAATAGCCCACAAAAAGTTAAGAAATTTTTAATAGACTTTCAAATTTTCTGTAGTTTCAAGGTAGGAATGACTTCAGTGCTTTTGTTAAATATAGTTGAGCCATTACTTGCTTTCAGAAATACTAAGGTTACTGTTAGACAGGCAGAGATCTGCCTGTGTATGGTTAAGCTTATAACCAGGCCTTTTCTTTTAGTTTATGTAAATACCTGTTGATGTTCAGTACTGCTCAAGCTCAGAAGTTGAAGTACTTCCCACTGGCGCTACATAGCACTTGTTATATATAAATGTAGCATCATAGTTTCTTATCTTTGGCCCTACATAGGTAAACACAGGCTGCCACAGAAATGTATTCTATTTTGTGGCAACTATTGGTGCTTGCTTTTCTGTTTCTGTTTTTTTTTTGGAAATCTGATTCAGAAAGGAGTTAAACATGAGGAGAACTAGAGAGAAATGGGAAAAAAAAATGCCACCAAGTTACCATACCTTTTGGAAAACGCCAATGCTTTTATTTATTTTTAACTGCTTAGATGTTTACAGATGTTGAGAGCTTTTTACTAATGGAGGAGACCAATAGGAGGTTCCTTGAAGCGCTGCACAGTGCATATTGGATTCTAATTTAAACATGGTTTTCACTCAGATGTTAAAAGGTCTGATGCCTTTAGCATGAGTTGTGCAGTGGATGTGTTGCCCCTTCAAATGTGCATCTTCAGTGATTTTGCTGTCCCCTTGTATTTAGGTGATTTTGTGTCTGATATGTTTTGCAGGAAATTTTTTAACTTGGTTGTTGCTTTCATGTTAGGAAGCATTATTTATTTTAATGGTATTTGTTCACTTTCTTTTAATAGAGTCAGATTTACAGATCTGTCAAGATAGAGCACCAACATGCTGCACCAAAAAAATGGAAGAGAGCTACCAGGCAGCTGTTCGAAGAGAGAGGATGCAGAGTATCCAGGCACTCAATTTTGAACTGAAGTACATGATTGTTGGCCATACCACAGCTTTTCAAGGTAGGAACTGTTGAAGTACTGCAGTCCTGTGAAGAGCAGCTTGTAAAATTATTCTGTACAGATGAGAGAAAAGCTGTTTTGATTCTTCATTTTTGTTGCACTGCACACTGTAGTCATTGGCTTCTTGTTTACTTCCCTGCTCTTTAATGATCTTGCCTTTAGGAAAAGGTGAGAGTGTGTAGTCTTGACTGTTAAATTTAAGTACCTGCCTAAATCTATTTAGGAAGAGAATGGCCCTTATTCCTGAAATCATTTTAAAAAAGGATTTATGTGGATTTTTCAAGGCATTTTCAATTATCATTTAAGTGCCTTATAGTTGTTTATGCCTTTTGATACTCTTATGTTGTCAAACCATTTAGAGATGTAGAAAGCTCAATTGAAATTTACTTTTTGAAGCTGAAGAATGAATGCTCTAACTGATGTGTAAAATGAAAATACAGTTTTCTCTGCTTTTTAAAATGTTTTACTGCTTACCCGGTCACATGCACAGGCCTGTTTTCTGGAATTATAGCTGCACTGTTGAATGTGAGCACATGAAGGATTCTGTAGTGAAAATCTGTTCTCATAACTCATGATGTTTTCAAAGATGTTTGCTCTAACGTGTTCATACTGGTTTCTTTAGTTTCTTCAAACCATTATTGTTCAATTAAAGGGAGGGAAGTGATTGTGTGATTGTGTAGGATTGTTCATTATTAAGTGTTGCTCACTGGACTTTCTCTAGGAAGGCATTTAAGCATCAACTGTAAATGTTAAATGTGAGATTGATTAAATCAGTTGTTGAGTGATTAATCCAGCTTGCTGACTTCCATGAGACTAATGTGCTTTATTTCATCTTTCTACTATGCTGTATTTAGTGCTGAACACCTTCATGGAATGGGTTTTGAAAACAAGGCAGTAGTTATTAAAATACTAAAATATAAACTTTTGATGTCTATATGATTAAGCTTGTTGTTACAAGGCATTTTTTAAAATCAAATAGTAGATTTTTTTTTTTTTTTTGCTTAGTTTCTTCCATATTTTAAAAAGAAGTGACTGTTAGTGAATAAAAGATATCATATTGTAGTGGCAGTGGTAAGTCATGGCCTGAACCTATGGATCACCTCGTGGGAAGGCAGGGCCAACCCAGGGGAGCTCAGATGCATGCAGTGTACTGAGTGACCAAAAGGGGTGGAACCAGGATGCACCCCCTCCCGGTCGTCATTTAGGGGTTGGCAGAGGAGGTAAGGGCATCTTTTGCTGGAGATCCGTGCCTACCTGAGGTCTTCCAAAGGTAAGCAGCTCTTTTATTTCGTTTCTGTATCTGTGGCTGCTGCACTTAGTCTCATTCTCATTTGCTGTAGCCAAAGATTTTGCCACCCTGCTGTTATCATCTGATTATAGCATTACACATATTATCTAAAGTTCACAGTAATTGATGCTGGATGTCATTAGAGATGTGTAAATGCAAGGTGAAAAAAATCTGCTTTTGATTGCTTACTTCTTTTTTCTGTTCTATACCTTTGAGTAAAAAATGGCATTTTGGTTTATTTTACAATCAGATTTTCTAAATGTTTTGGTAACCCCCATGAATTAAAAGTTTGGTTAGAGAGCTCTCCGGAGGAATGCTGTAATAAAAGGGTCCCTATGTTGAAAAGGTGTCTGTTGCCATTGTTAAATGTTGGTGAGTTATTCAAGTAATCTTTTAGTATCGTGACAGAATAGAGAGAAGGTCAGAATAGATTGACCTACCAGCCCCTTTAGGTCAAGCCAGTGGCTGTATGGTCCATTGCTGAGGAGACCTTTTGATGAAATGAAAGTAGTAGTTAGACATTTCACACAGTTTAAATTTACAGGCATGTCCCAAAAGTGGTTAAATAGGTGGTTTGTAACTTGTTACGTCTGGCCTGCTGTCTATGTTAGGTGGAGCATTCAGAAATGCAACTTTGCTCTGTTGTGTTGGGAGCTGTGTTGTCCTTTGGTTTTGTCCCAGGTGTCAGTGAAAAACCTCTTTCTCTATCTTGTGTCTTAAACATTTTGTTGCTACACATAGTACTGTGTGAGATACTTAATGAGAAGGAAGATTTTTTTTTTTGCGCTGAATTAACTGTCCTTTTCGTCTGTTTTGGTTTGTTGCTCTTTTGAATGGTGAGAGTGCTAAAAGCACATTTGAAATCTTAACAACAATAATTTCCTTATTTCAAGAAGCTCTCAGCTGCATTTTAGACATCAGGTTTCTTATTGCAATGGGAACTAATCTGGACTTGTGAAAAATAGCAGGTTTTTTTCTTTTTTTGTACGTGGTGGTGTTTACTTGTATGGTTTTCGTGCACAAAGCTTTCTTTTACAAACACACATACACTTTTTGCAGTGTTAGGAACACACTCGCCTTCAGTAGCATTAGCATAGTCAAAGCAAAGCACTAGTTAGTTCTCTTAACTGCTGATGGGGAAGATACTTCTTTAAAATTTTTTTAAAGGGGAAGCATTGCTCAAACCTTGCTGAATTGTTTAAGAAAGATAAGGGGAGGCAAGATTTGCAAGACAGGGGTAGGGAAGATAAGGCTTAAAGGATTGCATCCAGCCAGGATACGCTATTATTGAAAAGAATGTAACAGATAATTGCTGCATCCTTGTGGTTTAGGCTTAACCCAGACCAAAGTGAAAAAGGACAAGTGAAAGACATAGAACTTTCATCCTACAACCCCGGAAGATTATCACCACATCTCAGTACACATGTGGCTAGGGGTGGAGAATATGATAATAATGATAATATTCTCTCAGATGTAATTGTAATGTCCCTCCTACTTGTGGCATATATATGACTTGTCTTTATAAATAGTTCTTGTTGGAAACATCCAAATAATTTTTGTCAGGACGGTATCTCTGATAAAGCAGATTTTATTCGCGATTGCAATGGCGGGCGTCCCGCAAGCAGGAGCGCACCTATGGACACAAGATGACAGTCTTTATACCCTGTTTTTCCCTTATCCATCCCCCTGCCCTGTTTCCCCATTGGCTGGGTACTCCAGGTTCACAATCTTATCAGTTGACGTTTGTTGATTCGTGTGTTATCTGGTGTAGCCATCCTGTTGTTTCCAAGATGTCTCGGTGCTATTGATATGGTGATTGTCTCCGAAGTCTTCGTTAAACAAAGAGCACCGGGGGGGCGATGATGGCAGGCCTTCAGATGTCTCTTCAGGGCTTCCTCGGCATACCATGCTTTGTTCTCTGGTTTGATCTCGTGCAGGATCTTCTTGCAATGTGTGTGACAAAATATACATATATACACCTATATACAGAGCGTGCATTCCTGGGAAGGTTTGTCTAGAGGATAAGCGATGTAAACTATCAGAGTTCTTCCCCAAGTTAAGTAGAAGGACTCCCAAAAGGAATTATGACAACAGAGTTCATGAAATAAAAATATTATCCAATTCTAATGCAGAAACAACATTTGATTCCCACATTCTTAACCTCTACCTCATGGTGTGCAAGATAGGAGGGGCTACCTGGTTTGCACCCAGCATGTGTGCACAGTGCTGATTAAACCATACCTGTGTTATAACTGCTTTGTGGTTATAGAATTTTGATTTCTGTTAATACTGTACTGATGAAATCTCTTTCAAGACCAGTGTGGTACAAGAAGTGGATTTGCAGGAGTCTGACTTTTCCTATAGTGATAGGAATTAAATTTTGGTGGGAGGAGAGTGCAGCTTTTTTAGAGAGTGAGGGTGGTGGTGTTTGTTCATTTCATTTTACATTCCTATCATCTTATTTGCTTTCATGGAAGTCAAAAGACCAACAAAGGGCCAACAATCAGATACTACAAGTATTAATGAGAGAGCTTTGTCTTATGAATAGGAGTGTAGTAAAGCTTCCGTTAAGTATTCCATCTACAATAATGCCTGGGATGTCTTGATCTGAAGAGATTCTATTTACTTTAATTGAAAATATTACTTAAGTAATTTTGCCCACAGCAGAAATAAGACAATTTTCGCAGGTGCCAGAGCTAGATTTGCAAATTTGTAAGATTCCATTAAATATAGTGCAGCTGTAGGCAGTCTTGTTCTGTTTGGGCTAATGCCTGTTTCTGCATATGGTCATCCTTAGAACTGCAGTTTCATGCTGCTGTTTTTCCCGCTTTTAAGTCTTTGGTATTGGTGATGCAGTATTTGCTCAAACACTTCATAAATCAGTCTTTTGCTTGAACTTCTTTGTCTAATGCTGTTGCACATAATTAGGGTTGAAAGAGGCACGCTGACATCAGCTGCAGGGTTACTTCCATCCAAAAACGAACTTATCTTTCTCTGTCTTTGCACCCATGCCTGCAGCATAGAAATGCACAGGGTGACCATTCAAACAAATGATCAAGCAGGATACTTTAATTTTGTGACTTGCTCTCCTCTTTGACAACCAGAATGTTTTCGTTTTGAAATTGCTGTTTGTTTTTTTTTTAATCCTAACCTTTTTTTAGACATGCATATAAGCAAATTTATTATTTTACCTTAAATTTGAATGGCTGTGTTTCCTATTTCTTGTGGTGATACTATGTGTTACTTGGCACAGTCATCCTTCTGCTCCCCACCCGCCTCATCAGTTCAGTCATGCAGTCACTGCAGTCCTTGGGGACAGGTCCAAACGAGGCAACTTTGATTCATTGTTTGTGGATTAGAAGTGATGTGGGTGTGGAGGCTGAAAGTTGCTGTCAGAAGAGCTATCAATAGTCTGTTAGGAAAGCTTTGTTGTGGGCAGACAGCAGAGAGAAACCTGCCATCCCTTTTCCATATCCTTTATGGAGTGCTAACAGGTGCTGTGTGAGGACCTACAGAAAGCTTGGCTCTGCTCCTATTTTATGCTGAGGCTAATTTGAGGGAATGAGAGACGGAACACTAGTAATTTATTTGCTCTGCTGATAGTCTCTGCAAAGAGACAGAGTGAGATGCTTTGAAACCTACACATTTCATTCACCAAATTATGAGGTAATCAGATACAGTGAAAAACTTGGCAGATTCCAGAAAAAAAATA